CCTTTGCTCTTTGGATAAATCCAAATTCATTTGGTAGTTCCTAAGGTCTTGTAGGACCTTCTAGTCCCCCTCCATCTCCACTGATTAAAACTTAATTTATTTCAATTTCTCCATGTTTTATCTTGTTTTCTGGCCTGTACACATTTTCACTCCCACCTCCCCACCCTCCATCCCGCACCTCGGCATTTGGAGCAATTGCCCTTCTCTCTCTCTCTCTCTCTCTCGACTGCTTCATCAGGGTTCCATGAAAAAGCCGCATAATTCACCATTTATATCCTCTGGCAAATAGTAAGTGCTCAACTCAACATTTGTTGAGTAAGTTTGTAAAGGCACCTCCCCGTGTAACGCTCTCTTCCCCTTCACTTCTATGAATTTCTATGGCACTTACCGAACTCATCATTTGGCACCTAAGGAAATGTTTTGCATTTACTTTTATGATTTTCTAAAAATGTTCAATTCGGTTAGATTTAACGAATTCACACCTGCCACGGGGCTGACACTGGACTGACTAACTGCAGGGCAATCGAAGATCACCTTAATCTTCCTCCTAGAGAGGGAGCATCTTGTGGGCGGGTGGGGGCCAAGCCCTGGCCATCTGCAAACTTCCCACAGAACACAGACCAAGAGCCTGGAAAAGGGGCGTAGCAAAATGCTTGGCCTGCAAATCTCAAATTCTAGGTTCAACCATTGACTCTTACTCTGTGACTTTGAGCAAGTCACTCCACAAATCTGAACTTATTTCCTCATTGTGATATAAAGATAGAGGAATTACAGTTTCTAACCCGTCAGAGGCTATTAGTTGTCAGATGCACCACTGATTCTAGACCAGATATTGTACTTGTGTTGGGTGTGGGGTGTGAGAAGCATGATGTTAATTGCCTACGCCAATTATAAAATGCATTCTGATTTCATTAATATGAAAATGAGCAAAAGTGCTTCTTTGAATCAAGGCAATGTGATATCTTTGGAAGTGTTCAGGTGTTTTGAATATGGAAAACCATTGGGTAACTGTGAGTTCTGATGATGGCACGCTCAAATAGAGTTTCTGAGTTAATAGCTGAGTTGACTTTTTCCTTCTTGCTCAGTCTTATCTGTGAAGGATTTGTTCTGATTATGATTGACAATTTCAAACATACATAAAAGTGAGAGCAATGAGCTCTCATGTACCCATTATCCAGATGCAACAAAAATCAATACAAGAGCTCTTGTTTCATCGTTATTCCTATGCAGTTCCCCATATAATGGCATTTGTGAATACTTTAAAGGAATATTATCTAATGGTCATTTACCTCGCACTGTCTTCTAATCAGAGATACAATAATTTTTTCCTGGAGGTGTTTGCAAGCTTAGTGTGCATTGTATATTTTTCCAGAAAAGTTTACATTACCCAGTTGAGAAACACACATCTCCTTAAGAAGGTCTCTAGCCAATGATAGTTTCTAAGGGTGGGAAATGGAAATTTTGTTGGTTCCTATATATCTGAATATCTTCCAGTTTTATTTTATTTATTTTTTAAAAAATATCTTATTTATTTATTTGAGAAAGAGAGCGCGCGAGAGAGCATAACCAGGGGAAGGGGCAGAAGGAGAGGAAGAAGCAGACTCCTCACCGAGCAGGAAGCCCAATGCAGGACTCGACCCCAGGACTCTGGGATCATGACCTGAGCGGAAGGCAGACGCTTAACTGAGCCACCCAGGCACCCATATCTTCCACTTTTAAAACCAGTTCTCAATGTAGTATGCAAGATGAGAAATTGACTTGGGTAAGTTTATGGGTTTGTTTGATTGATTGTTGATAGCTTGCTGATTTCTTTTGTTTTGTTTGCATGGGTTTAATCATTATATGATATGGTTCCAACAATAGTGTATTAGATCATTACAGACAATAGTATTTTTGGCAGATTTTTAAATTCAGAGTGTACTTTCTCACCAGAATGCACTACAAAATATACTATATGGATATGAACATGTGCCTATGAACTAAAGATAAAAGTCTATGTATAATTTTTCTAAAATAATTTCGTTACTCCATATATATTACATTTTGCAACTGTGTTCAGGTCCAGTAGGGATGCTCTGAAAAACCAGTTTTCTTTTTCTTTCTAATAGATTTGTTTATCAGTGCTAGTGGTAATGCCCAAACACGGCTATATATAAATATTTACTTAGATAGGGCCACCTGGGTGGCTCAGATGGTTAAGCGTCTGCCTTCGGCTTGGGTCATGATCCCAGGGTCCTGGGATCGAGCCCCAGGTCAGGCTTCCTGCTCGGCGGGAAGCCTGCTTCTCCCCCTGCTCATGTTCTCTCTCTCTCTCTCTGTATCTCTGTGTCTCGAATGAATAAATAAAAAAATCTTTATAAAAAAATATTTACTTAGATGAAGCTATAGTTCATCTCATTTATAGTGACAATCAGTTTCATGTGGTGGTTTAACATGAATTAAGACAGTATAGGCAGGGATGACCTTACAACTCTGGAAGTTAAAGGGCAGTTTCACTGAGGTTAAGTTTGCAGCATTGGAGGGGTGGGTAGATTTCAGTAAATAAGCACTCATTTCAGAATTTGAAATGCATTCTCTAAGCTGGCACCATTGATTCTATTGTGCAGGGGGATGTTTACCACGGGCTGGGTTATGCAGCATTATGAACAGTGCTCCTTGGAGTTCTCCGCTTGCTATTCTGAAACATATTTGAGTTTTGCACCCCAAATCAGCCAGTCCTTTTTCGGTATCGAGATAGGAGATTCATTTGAATCCGTGCTTTCAGAGATGCCAGAGCCAATCAAGACCCTTCTTGCAGTGGAAAAAAAATGCATTCTTTTATTGAAATCCCAGCTTCCTCTACAAGATGCCAAGGAGCACTGAATTACAGGACTGCCATACAGCCTTTCCTTTATTCTTTCCATCACCCCGGGGCACAGGAAAAAAAAAATCTTTTGTCCTTATTTTCACAAGTTACCACATGGTTTGTATATGTGCTGCTGAGGCGAGCACTTGTTACCACATGGTTTGGAACCTTCAGGGCTATTTCTGAAACTCCATTGGTGTGTGCCAGAAAAATCCTCTTTAACACACAGAGTTGAATGGAAGATAGTTTTGAGATGTTAATTTCCATTTATTGGGCAAAAAAGATATTTGATGCACAAAGGAAACATCTAACTTAAAGCAACTTCCAATTTTTGAGAAAACATCAGGGAGCCTGAGGCCACAAGCTTTAAAACCAATCGGTTAACAAATGTTTATTGAACACCTATTTTGCACAAGCCTGTTGAAGTTTAGAAGTCTGAGATAAAGTCCTGCCCTCAAATTGCCCAGAGCCTAGGTAGTTGGGCAGACCAATCCAAACTCAGGGAACAAAGCAAGAGTTAAACAGTAAAACCAGATAAATATATAAGCAGTGTAAGAAGGCACTGTATGGTTTGGGCTTACAAAGTGTTTCAGGCAATATACTCTGCTGATTTTTAATACAGGGATCACAGTGCCCTGAAAACCGCTGAAAATCTTCACAGAGAAGGTACACATTGGGCTGGATTGAAAACACAGGTAAGAACCAAATAGCCTTAATGGGTTGGGAAGAGCAAATAGTCTTGGAAAGAGTCAGGTTGTCGGAGGGGGGAGTGGGAGAGGTTAGAAGCGTATAGCAAGGACCATATCGGGACATGCCTTAATGGTAACACCAGGCAGAGAGGCTGAAGATTACTCTTGCCGATCCAAGGTCGACAGCAATGTTTAGAACTAGGGGATTCCCTTCCTTTTCCTCCCTCCCCTCTTTCTGTCCTTTAAAAACAGAACCTGATTCGACAGAGACCTTCCCAGCTGCCAGGAAAGAAAGCAGCAAGTGAGGCGCTCACAAGTATTCCTGGCCCCGAAGTTGTCTCTCTGGGGGTGCGGTCTGGGGAAGTCGAGGGAGTGGGGCCAGGTAGGACCAGACCTATCAGCAGCCCTAATCCGGCTTCTGCGAACACTGCTCGGCTAGCTCTCCCACTAAGTCCTGGGGTTAAAGGAGATGCCGCCGCGAGTGAAAGGCTTTTTCCAAAGCGCTCTCTCAATTCCAAGGTCTTGAGATTGTTAACGGCGGCTGCGGGGCGCCGGCTGAGCACATAAAAAAGTGTCTTCTCCCCATATGGTTAGTGTTTCCAGGTTTCGTCTAGCTCCTGCTCACCAGGAATAGAAAATTAATCACGCTGATGAAAAGACAGCATGTCACAGGGAGGGCTGGCAAAGGAAAGTGCGGAACAGGGTCCCAGACAGAACGGGCTTCCGTGCAGACGGGTCTGCGGAATCTGCGTGCATCTGCAGTCTCCCATCCTCGTGCTCCCTCGGCCGCCGGGAGGTGGGGACAGGGAATCGGGAAGCCCGGGCACACCCGGCTCGCCCCGCTCCCAGCCGGCAGATGGCTCCCGGCCTCGCGCTCCCTCGCTCCCTCGCCGCATCTCCAGACGCAGGGCCCGGGTGGTTTAGGAGCGAGCTGCAAGGAAGG